GACAGGATATGGAACAGAATCGCTGATTTTAATGAAATTTTTTACTGATACAAGGTCGAAAAATATTAGATATGTGTCCTTGTGTTTTTTCCACAAGGAACCCTAGGAACCGTGAAAAAATTATTTAGGTAATTGAAATAGTTTTTTAAAACATAGTTTTATGTTTTTTCATGTAACCAAATTCACCAGATTATGTTTTAAACTAAATTCAAGATTATTATATATTATTCTTTGTATGTAAGGTCTTGGTTGAAATGAAAAAGTTAGTCACACGACCGGGATTCGAACCCACGACCTTCGGCTCAATACGCTGCTGGTCTAACCACTTGAGCCATCGTGGCTTCCAAGTGGTTAGAGCAGCAGCGTAGTGAGCTGAAGGTCGTGTGTTCGAATCCCGCTCTTGACATTAACTTTTTCATTTCAAACAAGACCTTATATACAAAGAATAATTAATTGAAAGAAATAATTTGGTCAATCAGACCACTAAATATAATGTAGTTGTTATATACCATCAGATTTGTTGTTTTACCTAGGATAAGAAAAAATATGAAGGATAATAAATATTAGCTGATATTTGATATAAAGATGTAAAAAAGAAAACACACCATCAGTGAAGAAGGCCACAAAAATTGTTTTTGAACAAAACAATTCGTATATGTTTATGCCATTTTCATTTATTTTGTAGAATTGGGTTTCGCAAATTCAATGCCTGTTTACAGTTGTTATGATTTCTTTCATAAACCAGATTGCTTGGATTTTTGAGATAAAAATTTCATCGGCATAAAAGCTTTTTTTACAATAACCGAACATGTTATATACGGTGTTATTACTGCTGATAAAGAGGAGTCTTTATATTCGATCCAGACCACGTAAAGAAAGAATCTCCTTTCGAGTTCAGATCCACGACAGAGAAAAAGCCAATATTAACCTGGTTTTCACTCGTGGAAATCACAACCGAATCTATTTCCGATCGGCCTCGGCGACATTCGACCGGTTCTGAACCTGTCACTGGTGGTCTCCAGTCCTCCTTCGAGCTGGACAAAAAATAATCAGTTTATTTGTCGTGTTCCCGACCAAATGTCAACCGTAGTAAATTTTGCTGATATGCGCGGGAATCATTATTTACCTTAAATCTTTATCTTTTTCGCATTTCACGTTATTAAATTGTTTTTCAAAATATTAATTATAAAACATAAAATTTCGTGAGCATTTGGTTTTAAATATTGTTAGCACTAATTTTATTCATGAAAATATTTGTAATTATATGTAATGTATTGTTCATCATCGACATAATACATACATCAGATTACCAGTGATGCGTAAACATACAGCGTGTTGTCTCTCTCTCTCTCTCTGAAAACTGGCCATAGTTGACTTCCTGCAAGTTAAAGCCTGCACAATTGTCCGCATTTGCATAGTAGGTATAATGCAGCAATTCCTTTCCCATTAAGTTGAAACATTGCGCGCGGGCTGGACATTAGCATGGGTGTAATTAAGGTTTTAGTATCATCTCATAAAATTAGCACTTGCAAAATAAACGTCATGTTTACTTAAGTAAATCGCACAACAGTATCGTTTTCGATTTGAATGTATTATTTTAAGAAAGAAAATCAATCTCTTGTTTCTTTTCCAGGGGTTTAAATCTAATACGAAAAAGTTGTACGTTCTTATCGGTCGAAGTTATATTCAAAACAGCAGATTCTTTTTCCATTTGGTGTGATGGATTATGCAAATTGGACGGGATCTTCTTGTAATTTTCTCGAGAGTTATCAACACCTTCGATAAATATGTAAATCCTCAGACTGTTTGGTAGAGGATTAAATTTAAAGATAAAGTTTTAAGCCTACCTTTAAAAGAGTTGGATTTATCTTATAGTATGGTGTTATATGGTACTACAAAGATTATTCTTATTGCATGCAATATCATGTAGGTTTTTATCAAAGACAGACAAAATAATACTGATATCTTTAACAACCAGAAACAAAGTTTTGAAAAATAAGCATTTTTACAATATTTGCTTGTACAAAAGGAAGTGGAATAAAGTGCCGCTTGGTCCTTGCCGGTCATTTTGGTATTTCTATACTATTTGTTTTGGTCGGTTCGGTGTGTTCGACTTAACCCGACCCTCATTGCGTAATTTTAAATTGTTAGATTCCTTCCTAAAAACTCGTGAAAGATGGAGGGATTTTTCAGAGTTATATTTGTCGTTTTGTGCCTTTAAGGGATTATGTCTAAGTTTTTTGATTTATTCTTGTTGTTTATTGAGATCTTGGTCATTTACTTTTTTTAAGAATGTACAATTTTTTATAACATTGCACGTTAATTAGTAAATTTAGTAAAAAAATTGGCAAAGTTAGTGGCGTAGTTGGATTATTGCTCGTTGACTTTGTATATATTTTGTGCCTGTTTTATATATATATATATATATATATATATATATATATATGATTAGAGGGTGTCTCACGGTAGAAGTCCAACCTCTCTAACCTCCTTTTTTATTTGAACCCTACACTTATTCGTACATGTAACAAATGGAGATTACAATTCCTTTTTCCTACGGTCAAAACATTAAACTAATGCCAGAGCTGACTAGTAAGACACATGCGACGAGAAACCAGCCAATGTTGGCACTCAGCCTAACGGATTAAAGGGCAAAGCGGTTTCGAGGCTATCGTCGATTAAAGCAACATGGCGGGTTCTCGGGATAGGCATGTGTCGGGAGAGGGCAGGGGGCAGTAAGGTTAGATAGATCGAGAGGTTGGTGTGAAACTTTTGAAAAATGGAACGGATAGGTTCATTGATCAAACGAAGGATGAGGTCGTTGTGGATAGTGAGGTTAGTGGCGTAACAAAGAACTTTGTCGATTTGTCTGAGAACTTTACAGGGAAGGAAAGGATAACCTGCATGTTGGATATCTTGGCAGAACTCACAATTCCACTCTGTATGGCCTAAGCGGTAGCAGAAGATTTTTGTTTTGGCGGTCAAGCCTTTTGGTATTGAAGCCTTCGTGGTTGCCCAGGTCTTCTGTTGAGTTGTTGTCTCTTAAGTCTTGTATGTGGATTCCTTGTCAGTCTGCTGTCTATGTACAGTTCTATTTGAATGGAAGTTGTACGGTTTTTTCCAATCACCGCAGGAGTTCCCCAATATAGAGAACTTGGTCCACAATTTTTTACGTACTATATACTGCTGGCATATCTAATCACCTAAATACTTCCTTGTTCACATTTGCAGATGCCACTGCAATCCTGTTTACCCACGATGATCCTGTCCAGGCTGTTTTTTCCCGACAGTCTCACCTTACCACCCTTGAGCCTTGGCTTAAAAAACGGAGAATAAAAATAAATGCCACTACATTAATTTCATATTCCGGCGTGCGATCCTTCTTCCTGCATACCTCAACCGTGTTCCTCTATTCAAGACAAAATCGTGTTCACTACTTAGGACTATACATCGACAAACGCCTCATGTGGAATGTGCATACTAGTCTTAAACGACAAGTACTCAAGAGAAATACGAACTTCTTTCTCGACTTTTAGACAGACCATCCAAACCATCCCTTAATATAAAAGACTAATCTACAACAACTTACTCAAACCGACTGGGTCTTACTGTATGGAAATATGAGGCTCAGCTTATTCTCTATATGAGCTCAAATTATTCAACTCTTATCGAATCCAATCCTTCCAGTCCACAATTCTCCGTTGTATTACAAATGCTCCTTTTTATGTGTCCAATCATGCCCTTCATCATGATCTCAAAATGCCTTTTGTTTCCCACGCCATTAAATCAAAATACAACAAATATCACTCCTCACTCACATGTCATCCCAATCCCTTAGTAACCCAACTTTCCTCTACCATACTTCCCGATACTCCACACTGCCGACTGAAAAGCCGATTGCCTTGTTATCTTAACTCGAGTGATAGCGAGTGACAAGTTTTTACGTCGAAGTGTTACTACTGAGTGACTTCTCCGCTCGTGATAAGTCAATTTTTTTCTGTCAAACTGTTTATTTGGTTGTTGAAGTTAACAGTTGTAAATTTCAATTAAACAAAAAGATAAGAATGGTACCTCTTTGCTGTTGATGTACAATGGAGGGCAAGACAGTTTTCTCAATGTGAACGTACGCTGAGTACGTTTTTCTTCGTTCAGTCTTGTCCTCCGCTTTTCCACCAGTCTTCGATAATCTCAAGGTGTTCTTGGATGTTGGAGATAGTTTGTATAGGAAAAAATTGCGGTAGGTAGTTATTAGTATTAGAGTATGTAGGTAGGTCAGCAATAAATACAATAAAGGATGGGACCAAGAATGCACCCTTGTGATAAATTTTTTTTTTAAATTTCGTCGTTGTTTTTATGACATAAAATGTGCCCTACTTAATTTTTTTTAAATAAGACCCCTGTTTTAATTTGGGTTTCAAAACTAGGTCATGTTTAAAAACTTTTGCGTTGAACCTGGTTCGAAATCATAATTTTATTATATAATTAGATATTATATACAATTTTCTTTTATTAAATAAATTAACAAATCCTAATTTTTATAGACAGTAGTAAAACAAGAGTTTTACTAGGTATGAACAAGTTACATGGCGTTACAATAAATACCACTCTGGGAAACTTAAGTTACATATTAGTGAATGATGAAAATTTTTGCAAAAAAATCACGGATGTTTATAAAAGATAGGACTCAATTTTAATTGTTGTTTTCAAGAAAGCATTTTAATCTTTGCTTTGAAGTCCTAATCTCACTTAATACCCACTTTAATACTTCAGGTTATTTATTTATTAAACGTAAAAAAAAAATTAATATTGTGTGTTCCCGTCGAATATCTTTTTTTTCATTATAAATGGTTTTCGCGGGAGGGTAGGACTCTTTTCGGGCTAGAAAGGTTGGAACGCACTTCATTGTTCATGCAATTTATTGGTATTAAAGTATTGATACATATGTAAAGTATTTTTATTATTAACTTTATTTAAAAGTTAATTTATATATTTTCTTTTAGGTCTGGCTGATTTGGTACATGGTTCTGGGATTTACATTGGTTTTCTCAAGCCACGGTCTTAATCCAGGTAATATTTTGATTTATACTTTTCTACGAATTTTCACTCTTTGTATTTGTAAGATTGGCGATCACTTTGAAAAGGAAGGTTATATATAAAGTTGAGGTCGAAAGATCATGAAGTAATCCCCTCAGAGTTTATAGTCCCACTAAAAACTGCTTTTATTGCTTCAGAGGAGGAATGAGGCGTTTCTTGAAGTTTAACAGTCTCTTTCATACTTGAATAAATGCTTTTTTGTCTAACTCCTGCATAAAACACCTGGAGGGGCGGCAACTTCTGACGTATACAACGTAATTAGATTTGCACGGCTTTGATTTATTCGCAATTGCCGAGTAAAGTTTGCCCAGGGATTTCTCTGGAGTTATGTCGGGGTAGTTTTTTTTCGAGTCTGTGGGTTTTTTTTCTCGTCGCAGAGCGTACCCACGCTATCAAAAAGACAGGACTGATGGGTGGGAATAATAAGTTTTGCCGATATTAAGTGAGGCGGAGTCAGATTCGTTAAACGCGGTTGTGGAGAAATTTAATATATACCGGCACTTACGATATGCTACACTTACCACACAATTCACAATTTTACTATAATATATATTTCTGTTTTCGTTTATTAGAAATTGGTTGTTAGAATGATATAGTACGGATAGAAGATAATTTAACGATTCGTAGAGTTCATTTTTGGTCTATTTACAAAATGACAGACAGTAATGATAATAATAGCTGCCACATCGTATGATGTTTTCTCCATCTGCACACCTACTAGAACAAACAGCTAAATAAACGCAAACTAAAACACCAAATGACTAAATAAACAGAAAACGTTTTAAAGTACTTTAAATTCACCAATTTCGTGGTCCGCTTGACCAATTAATACTTTACAATTTTCATCTCAACTAAAAACCTTAATTAATTGTAAAGTTTTAAAGTACATTTTTTTGTACAAATATCGAATTTATTATAAAAGCAAGAACAAAAGAAATAATTTTTAATTAAAAAAGGCCCATATTATGGCAGTATTATTGTTAATAATAGAAGGCCTTATTAAAAAATTACAGTTTTACCATTTAGATAAAAGTCGAAGATATGTTAATCGGTGCAGAGCCAAATATTTATGTATTTAGCTATATCTAGCATATTATTTATTGTCGAAGCTAATCTTTATATTGCTCTGATTTATAAAAGAGATAATATTTCATTAGTGTAAGTCGTTATTATTTTTTAATTAGGTTTTGAGGTCAGCTTGACCAAATAAATTCTTTTCAATTAATTAAGATTTTGGTTGAGATAAAAAAGTCAGTGTCAAAAGCGGGATTCGAACCCACGACCTTCGGCTAAATACTCCGCTGCTCTACCACTTGAGCTACCGTGACTTCGATCCACCCGGACACTAACTTCCCATCTCAACCCAACCTTTTGAATTTGAAAAATTGTAAAATAGCAGGAAAATTCAAAAGGTGGGGTTGAGGTGGGAAGTTAGTGTACGGGTGGATCGAAGTCACGATAGCTAAGTAGTAGAGCAGCGGCGTATTTAGCCGAAGGTCGTGGGTTCGAATCCAGCTCGAGACACTGACTTTTTCATCCTAACCAAAAACCTTAATTAAAGATTAATTAATTAATTAGAATAAAATATGGGTAGGTTTGTAAAAATGTATTCCTCTTAGATTTCATCTATTAATTGGTTTTAAAAGTTTTATAGGGCAATTTTCAACGTTAGATGGATAAAAGTATTAAAAGTATTCCACGCATATTCTTGTTTAATCATCGGTTTTAAGCATAAAGTTGCCAAAATATTTGATTTAGGAAGGAAAATATACTATTGTGTTTGCATATGAAGTTTATACATTAGAAATTATGGCAAAGAAATATATAGCCATCGAATTTATATAGAAGTCAAGAGTTGGTGTCCGAGAGGATCGAAGTCACGATAGCTCAAGTGGTAGAGTAGGGGCGTATATAGCCGAAGGTTGTGGGTTCGAATCCCACTCCTGACCCTGACTTTTTTATCTCATCCAAGACCTTAGAAAAAATAATTAATTGATTGCAAAAGGTAACTTGGTCAATTGACAACGAAAACGTAAATGGATTAATATTTAAAAAGGAAAAGAAATATCACTTCACGAAACTGCTCCCGTGGCCACTTCATAAGTCGCTGAGAATCCGATTATACGACATTTCGAAATGTCAAAAAGAGGGAAAATTCGAACGGTTGTAGGTTGAGATGGAGAGTTGGTGTCCGAGTGGATCGAGGTCACGATAGCTCAAGTGGTAGAGCAGCGGCGTATTTAGCCAAAGGTCGTGGGTTCGAATCCCGCTTGTGACACTGACTTTTTTATCTCAACCAAAACCTTAATTAATTTAAAATTATAATTTTTAATACCTTAGTCGATGGCTGTACTTTTAAATAATAATCTTTTAGGAAAGTACTGTAATATACGAGCTTTTAATTATTAATTCCCTTAAACCTTCTATAGTGCGTTTATCTTCCACCACGTGGTATACCAAAATGATGAAAATTTATTTGACATCTTATTTCTTTACTAATACAAATTTTTATGTTCTGTAAACGGATTTAGTATCCTTACAATCATAGAATTCGCGATAATTGGTTTACAAAACTTTTACATAAAAAATAATAAAATCTTTAATATTTGAGTATTTTTTAGAATTTCATGTTCAATTGTATAATGTATAGCATGTACATAATCAACATTACTTTTGAGTAAAAGATAATGTGCTTATGTACTCTAGGCAATACTAATACTATTGACTTTATAATCACTAAACACATTGATATTGATATAATGCCTTATATCTCTTATTCTTCAAATCACCGACTGTAAACAAAATTGTTTTTGATTATTAGTCATTTTGAAAAAAAAGAAGATTATTAGTCGAAGTAAGGACCATGAATCTTGCAATGTCTGTTATATATTAAAATCAAATCTGATGGGCAGTCAATGTTTCGTTCAATCCAATACTGCCTTAAATCGGCCCGCTGACATAAACGTTTCACCCTGATCCTACGGCATTACCGTATTTTTTGTTAAAAAGTTTAGTAAGCCAATTAGCATGAATTCTATGATGATAGGGCCAATAAATCTGATTACAGATCGGAAAACGAATGGTACAAAAATCAGAGACCAGGAAAATTTGCGGAAGCAGTGCTTACCTCCAAGCTAACTTTTAGATTTGATTTATAATTATTTGGGGTACATTTAGCCTTAAAATTTTTCAAGTTCATTCAGTATGTTCATGCTTGTTATTTTGTCTAATCTAACTAACATTGTTTACTATGGCGAGAAACTCGTAAAAAGCCATCATTATATTTCGACATAACTAAACTAACAACAATGAGGTTTACGTTTTTTTGGTGTAATTTTGAAATGATGTTTTTTTTTATCATATATTATAAAATAGATAACGTTTTTCCTAACATAACCATTAATTTAAAAAAACAAAAAAAAAAAATACTCCAAAATGAAGTTGTTTAAATATATTACTTATTTTTTCAAGTAAAACATGTAGCTGCTTTTGTATTCTATTGGCTCTTTATAACGCATTACATGAAATTTGTGTTTAAAACAAGCTTTTTTTCAGACAACTAGAAATTCGAGTTTGTACAACCATACATTATCAAAACTTTTTAAATTACTGATCATTAAATTGGTTTTGCCTTAAATCCTGATTTATTGCACTCCGTGAAAATGAGTCTTATCTATGAATTTATTCGATAATTATTATGATTTACTTTACACTTTACAATTTTCCACCTAGCGATCACTAGCTAATTTACCGGAATAGTTCCTGGAATTACATTCGTTAATTAGAAATAAGCAATTAGTTAGCCAATAGTCCCAAAATTTTGAATTAATATTAACGGTAAAATTTGCTTTCTTTCTTTTTTGACATGAGCATATGCCCTTTAAATATGTTACAAGATTCTTTATCAAATTTACAAGGAATTCAATAAAAACTAATAAAACAAATGTTTTTGTCCTATTCACCTTGCAACAGTTTGTTTCTTTGCAATAATAAATATTGTTCCTATGTAAAATGTAATGAAAATTTATAAAGCGAGGTATATAGGGAATTGACTTATTCAATATATGTTTGAATTGGAATTCATATTATCAAAAACCACATGAAACTAAATAATTCTAATGTAAATGATTCGTAAAAATGGAAACGGAAAAGTATTTTACACGTAGAATAAAGGTGAAAAAATTGTGGGTTTTTCTGTGTTAATGAAAATGTGTTTAATTTCCATGCATGCGGTAAAAGGGGAGACAGAATAATTAAAGTGGCGAAACAAAAATCACAGAGGTCTTTCATCTCCGAATTAACCCCAAGAACGGGCTACTTGGATGTATGAAGATCAAAGCGATTTTAAATAAAAGAAACTCTCGTTTAAACTATCTTTTACTTTGTTTATATTATAAGACACAGCCGCCCTGCTTTTTTATGCAACGCTGTATATCATTATTTTGGAATCTGTTTGGACACTGAATTAACTAACGTGTTTACATGTTTTAAAACTAAAACATTTTTTTATTACTATTATTTTTGTAATTTTTACATGCCTTTATTTACAGAAACAAGTTTTGTTAAATAAGATTTTTACAAATCTCTGACACGGATGTGAAATCAGCCTGGAGGGGTTTGTTGCTAATTGTTAAAATTTATTTGATTTTTAAAATTAAACACCTTTTTAGTATATTACATACAAAAATAATTTTCTAAACCATTTGTTATTGTATGTTATTATTCAATATACCGCGAATAACTCGAAAAAGGTTGAGAAATCGGGCAAAGTGGAAAGTGACCAATTGAAAGCTTATTAAAATTTCCTATCGATTGCTGTAGGACGCCGTTCCAGGACAAATTCTTGGCTCCACAGCTCAATTTAAAGTTTTCAAAAGTGCAAAACAGACATTTTAAATCTACTGATCAATAACTGAAGCTAGGAAATTATTTAAAATGTCCATCTTGTTCAGCGTAAAATTTTCTAAATTATG